GCCTCAAGTCCTACTCCCAATCCCTTATATCGGCACCTTACACACGTACGACGCCTGGCCCCCCGGTGACAGGCCGGGACCCCGGGAGACGGGGCTGGGGATGCCGGGTGACGGGCGGGGACTCTGAGTGACAGCGCCGTGGACACTGGGTGACAGGTCAGGATGCCGGGTGACAGCGCCGGGGACGCCGGGTGACAGGGCGGGGACTCCGGGTGACAGCGCCGTGGACACTGGGTGACAGGGCGGGACGCCGGGTGACGGGGTGGGAAGACGCCGGGTGCCGGGTTGGGGGACGCCGGGTGACAGGGGGGACACCGAGTGCCGGGGGGATGCCGGGTGACAGGCTGGGGAGCTGTCGTGTGTGCCTGCGGAGCGGCCGTCCGTCTGTGGCGGGGACGCCGGGTGACAGGGCGGGGAGCCGTCATGTATGCCTGCGGCGCGGCCGTCGTGTGCGGTGGTCCCCGGCGCGGGTGCGCTCACATCGGGAAATCGGATGGCGCTGCACTTTATCAAGCGGGTTCACCGCAGTACAAACAGGACACATTCCTCTGGCGCGTTTCTCAGTGTTAAGTGGGCCCCCAGCGCCTTGGACTTGCAGTAGGCAGTCATCTGTGTGTCAGCCGCCCTCGTCCAGGAGGGCCCCCCTGACGTGCGCCGCTCAGCCGTCCTGGGTGCAGGCAAGTCGGGTGGAGGGGCTCCCGGAGCGTCGCGGGCACCCCGGTCCCCAAGCTACCGTGCTTTTGGTGTCTGCTGCTGTTAGAGATGAAAGGCAGAGTTAGGGGGAGAGAGAGAGATCTTCACCTGCTGATTCACTCCACAAACGGCCGCAATGGCCAGAGCTGGGCCCATTAGGAGCCAGGAGCTTCTTCCGGGTCTCCCACAGGGGTGCAGGGGCCCAAGGACTTGGGCCATCTTCCACTGCTTTCCCATGCCATAGCAGAGAGCAGGATGGGAAGAGGAGTAGCCGGGCTTCGAACAGCTGCCCCCCAAGGATGCCGGTGCACCATAGCAAGCACCCTGTTTTCTCTCCAGTCCGTGGTGCTGATCCTGGCTGCTCTGCTGACTTAGGGTTTGTCCCGTGATGGTCGCTGTTCCACCCGTGTCAGCTCCACCATCTTCTGCGGGAGCAGATGGAACTGCTGAGGCACGGGCCTCCCACCCCGGTCCGCTCAGGCTGCTGCCTGTAGCCACGCCGCCCTTAATGTACTCCTCCTTACCCGGTGGCAACCCTGACACCTCCAGAAGGGGCCGTAGGGCTTACAGAGGGTGACCCAGTCTTTCCCACTCACACTCATGTTCAGTGTCAGCCTCTTAACAGAAGGATCTGGATTTCTTCTTAAGTGGGGCCCGCACCGCGGCATAGCGGGCTAAGCCACTGCCCGCTGCCCCACTTCTGGTCCATTCCCTGCTCATGTGCCTGGGCAAGCAATGAAAGTCTCAGATGGAGTTCAGGCTCCTGGCTTCGGCCTGGCCAACCCCAGCCATTTTGGCCGTTTGGGGAGTGAACCAGCAAGTGGAAGATCCTCCCTGTCTTGCTCTGCCTTTCAAATAATACTTTTAAAAAATCTTTAAAAAAATAATAATTGTGGGGCCAGTGTTGTGGCATAGTGTTTGGTGGGTAAAGCCACCCCCTGTATCTCATGGGAGTGCTGGTTCGAGTCCAGGCTTCTCCACTTCTGCTCCAGCTCCCTGCTCATGGCCTGAGAAAGGCAGTGAGGACGGCCCAAGTGCTTGGGCCTCTGCCACTCACCTGCGAGACCCAGGTGAAGCTCCTGGCATCAGCCTGGCTCAGCCCTGGCCATTGGGACCATCTGGTGAGTGAACCAGTAGATGGAAGATCTCTCTCACTTTCAAATAAGTAAATAAATAAATAAATATTAAAAAAAAAAATAACGTGGTAAGAGTTGATAAGAAACCATTCTGGAACTTCCTTTTACTGACCTGCCTAGAGACTCTTAGCTCACACCCGAGCCGTTCTTTCACTAAGGCAGAGTAAATAAACAATCGTGAAACCCTTGGCTCGGGGCAGGTGTGTGGTTCGGTGGCTGAATCGCAGCTTGGGTATGCCTGGTGCAGTCCTGACTATGCCCATAGGACTTCGTGCTATCATGCACCCCAGGGGGCAGCTCACAGGCTGGGGGCTCTGGCGTCCATGTGGGGGACCTGCCTGGGCTCCATGCCCCTGGCTCTGGTCTGGTTGTCATGGGCATTTGGGGAGTGACCAGCAGATGAAAGATCTTTCTCATACTATTTGTCTCTATCCTTATCCCTGTGCCTCTGCTCTTCAAAAAAATACAAATAAATTGTAAAAGATGGGTTCATCTTGGTGCAGAGCTTTGAAATGCATGCATAGGAGAGGTCTTTATACAGCTCATGGAAACGAACATGAGAAACTATGGACTTTTAAAATTTCACATCCAAATACATAGATGTATTTATTTATTTGAAAGGCAGAGTTAGCGCTTCCATCTGCTGGTTCACTCCCCAGTGGCCACTTTGACTTCGGCTGGGCCAGGCCGAAGCCAGGAGCCAAGAGCTTTATCTGGGTCTTCCATGTGGGTGGCAGAGGCCCAAGCACTTGGGCATACTCTACTGCTTTCCCAGGAGCGTTAGCAGAGAGCCGGACTGGAAGTGGAGCAGCTGGGACTCGAACCAGCACTGGCAATGCAGGCAGTGTGTCTGCTGCTGTTTGCATCTGGAATCCGAGCTGTCTGGTGACAACCTCGGGCAGGAGTGCAGCACAGGGGCAGTGCAGGCCGGCCGGCCTCAGGCCTCCACCTTGGCGGCTCTCGCCTCCTGGTTCTTGTCTAGCTGCCGCTCTGTGGGAATCCCGAGTGACGGGGGAGCCCTGAGACAGGCAGCATGAGCGAGGTCCTGTGAGCCTGCCACTGTGGCCCCGGCCTGTCGTGCGGAGCAGAGCTGCCCCTAAGGGAAGCGCTAGCGGTAATAAAACAGTGCTAAGTGTTAGCAGCGGAACACAACGCAGTCTGAGCGAGTTCGTGGTGAGGATCTAGCTACACTTTTTAGGTTGGCAGCCTAGGAAGCCATTATGTCAAGTTGCCCTGCACAGTGAAGGCCAAGCAGGTAACAGGAGTGAACCTTACCTCTCCCACGGGACGGGGCTTTTCCTGCCCAAGCCATCATTGCAAAAGCAGGAATGTGTTCCCAGTGAGTCCAGGCCATCCAATTTTCAAAAGTTGCAAATCCAGAGCTTTTATGAGATGCCCTCACCTGTACATGTCGGTCACCAGCTCAAACAACACTGTTAAACAGCACTTCCGTTGGCCCTCTGTAACCCAGGGCCAAGAAGTATAAACCGTGCCCCGAGTCCTTGTCTCCCTGGACGCGCACTGCAGTCCCGTGAGGCGGTCTTCCGGTTTCACCCACTCACCCGCGTGGGAGGAGCTCCGGACAGTTCCGTGACTTAGCCACCATCACCAGGTGGGCAGCTGTGGAGCCGGGTTCTGACCCCACACAATCTTACTCCAAAGCCCGTTAGAAGCTTTTAAAATGTGGTATCAGAAGAGATGTTATTAAAAGGATGCTGGGCACCCTCAGAATTTTCTAGTAAGGCTACAGACCAAGCTTGGAAGCTGCACAACCAAGGAACTCTCCAGAAATCCTGCCACAGATACAGCCTGCTGACATCACCAGGCACAGCCGC